TATTCAGAAACATTCTGGGATGCGGCAAAAAGGTATCAAGGTGTAAAAGAACGAAGTGGGCGGGGTTGGCACCAAAGTGGGCGGGGCTTAGATCAAAAATTTATAACCCTATTCAGAAACATTCTGGGATGCGGCAAAAAGGTATCAAGGTGTAAAAGAACGAAGTGGGTGGGGCTGGCACCAAAGTGGGCTGGGCTTAGATCAAAATTTCATAGCTTTGTTCAGAAACGTTCAAGAACGCGGGAAAAAAGTGGTGAGAGGAATTGGAAAAAATGTAGTTAAGTCCTCGAAGGGGGCGGAGCTGGCGCATGGAAGCGGGGCTAGGACCACAAATTCATCTCTTCAAAAACTTTCTGGAATGCGGGAAAAATGGTTTGGAGCAGTCAAAAGAAGGGTGGTCAAGTTTATTGTGGAAAGGGTTTGCTTTAAGGTGGACGGAGCTATGATCAACTACTAATAACTGTGCTCAAATACATCGAGCGTGATGCTATCAGCAGTTCAGCGTTTAAATCTAGAGAAAACTATCTTATTCGGATTATCCAACATTCCACTGAATGACTCCATCGTGGATAAGTGGCCGTCGACATATACTGCGCGCGTTAGCGTGCATAGCCAAACTGGTTTAATATAAGATACAAGTCTATAAAGGGATTTTCCTGCTCTCCAGGCCGAAGAAATCGTGAGGAATGACTGGATATTTTCGGATCCCAAAGCCTGAATGAATGCGAGTGATGAGTTGCTGTTGTCGGATAGAAGAACCTGAATAAATGGCCCGTTGAGTGGAAAGGCGGCTTTTCTTACAGCTCCACAGGCCATTAGTTAAGTTTTTGGAGGCGCGGCTGCTCTCGAATAAAGATGTTCTCTGGAGAGGATAGAAAAGTGCTTGAAGTTGAATAGGGACCATTCGAGAAATTGTTGCGGAACTTGCATTACTTATTAATATTCTGTTCAATGGGCCGTGGCAACGTGGTAAGTGGCCCATTATCACGCATGGTCCGAGGATCGAATCTTGATCGATTTCCGCCTAGGTCTACCAAGCATTCCATCCATCTGGGGTCGCTTAATGGTAACGGGCTCGTCTGGGAGATAACATCACCGACTTGTACATCGACTGGCCCAACGCAGTTAATTGTATAGGCCACATAAGCATTCAATATGCTACTACGATTCTGAGTGGAAGTCGAATGCGGGGCTCACCCCCGAAAACGAGGCGTCAAAAATTACTCTGTGGTGGGACATTGGACAAATATAAAAAATTTTCTTTTTTCTCGGCTTTATTTGCGAAGCCAAGAAACAAAGGCGTTTCTCCCGGGTTGTTGTATGGGCAAACCAGAAATATTGGTGGTACCCCGGGTCATATTAGAGACGAGAAAGTAATTAAATAACCAGTTATAAGCTGATGGCTTGCAAGCCTGAACACAGGCTTTGAACTATCTGGGTATCTCGCAGTATCCATTACCTAGGCAGGGTAAAGAGTCGGGTAGGCTGCAAACCAGGTCGTACCTGCTTCTAGCAATGTTGTATTTGGCTCAACGGCTTCTCGGATAACTTCCAGTTTTGCTTATTGATGACAAAATTGGAGAGATACATATAAATGTAAATGAAAGTACAAATCGGAGATAAACAGAGCCATTAAAAATTCAATAGCCGAAACAAATGAGCAAAATCCGAATGGGAAATGCTATATGGGCGGACGTCAATGTGGTTGGTGATGGTGGTAATCCGAGATATGTGAGATACACACATAGACACACACACGGGGACAGGAAGATTTCCGGGGAAGAGCCCCGTGCCGTCTCTACTCGAGAGCTCATCGCGCAGATGAGCAAACAGCAAACAAATGATTTCTTACATCGATTGGCGCCCTTCCGGTGCCCGGACCACCGGTATACACTAGGGGTCATATTTGTATTACGGTGGGATATTTTTTCTAGGGGTGAGGTACTTCAAAGAAAGTACCAAGCCCACAAGGTCGAGCTCTGAGTGGTATCCGATGTTTATTTTGTGTTTTTTTTCAGTCGGGGTAGTTCCTTTACGCGAGCTTTTTCAATGGAGGTGACAAGTTTATAAGATTAAGCATTGATCGGTACATCCAAGCTGATTGGAAGGAAAAAATGAAACTTGTGTATATAGTCAAGCGGAATTGGTTCAGTGGCACGTGGCGCTTCATTACACACGCATAGCCCGGGATCGAATCCCTTATCGATACACGACTAAACTTTCTATCCCGGGTAAATCAATCGGTCCCGTCCCACACTCGTCTAAGAGGATAAAAGCATCGACTGGCCATCGCATGTCATTGTGTTGGTCACCTATGCATGGGTTTAAATGAGAGTCCAACGCTGGGGCTTATGCCAAAGACGGGATCCATCAGAACCAAAGAATTTGCAGTGGTGTAGCGGCAAGTGGCGCACTATATCTCACGTACGGTCGGGGGTTCGAATCCCGGATCGATGCCCGCCAACCAACCCTTCCATTCCTCCGGGGTCAGTGAATTGGTACCAGACGCGTGTGGGAGGATAAAAGCACTGACTTGTACATCGGCTGACCACCGCAAGTCATTGTATAGGCCACATACGCACTCATTACGCCACTACGATTCTGAATGGAAGTCGAGTGCGGGGGCGCATCCCTCAGGCGGGATTGATTAACGCTATAAAACTTTATCCTTATCCTATCCCTATGGCTCTGGAGGTCGAATATTATAAAAAAGAACCCTTTTCACCCTTCTCCTCACCCTTTCCAAAGGAGAAGAGCTTGGGAGGCACTGTTTTTAATTAGCTCGTAATCTTGACGTGCAATTCATTGTGATATTTTTTAACAAATTTCCCAATCGGGTAAAGGGTATGTACATCCTGTTGATAAAATTGTCATTAGCGATAAATGGGTAAACAGGAAAACCGCTGATAAGGTTTTCGATGAGCCGTAAACGTCGTCCTCCACCTGCAAGGTTCAGCTTTTCAACGAAAACGTCTACGGGCCAAGAAAGAAGTGGACAGTTCAGCTTTTGTTCAGAGACTGTAGTTTGCGAATAAATTGTTTACTCACGAAAATTATGTAGCAAAACTAAAACTATGCAATTCCCAGAAAAGGAAGGAATGAAGGCTATTGTTTTGAAATGTTGTTTTTCTTCAAAGAGTTGAGGGAGTGATGCTCGAATAGTTGTCTTTTTTCTCTCATCCTTTCTGTTCGGATTTTTATTTGCCTTATAAAAGATATTTGTAAAATATACTTTAAAGCTAGGTGTCTCCCCGGACCGTACGCATTCCAGTAGTCGTTTGAGTGGCAATCGAGATTGGCAACCGGCCAGCCTAAGTCTAAAGACTAGGAATCAAAAACTTCAGTCCGATCTGGTTGTCAGCTGAGTCCTACACTGAAAAACCAACTCCTTCAGAAAGTTTTTCGAGGAATTTTTATGGGTATTTCGTCATATGAGCCGTAATCAGTGGTCTCTTGACTGGCTTGCACTCTTTATAACTGCACCTTCATTGCACTTTGGAAGGAATGTTTTTCTTTGTAAAAACTACCAGTTACACCATCTTTTGTAATCAGTCCACTGTGTATAAATAGGCAATGGGGCCTATCAATCTTTATCGATCCCTTCTACTGTCATTCTCTCTGCACCAAGCAATGTCCTGTCCAGAAGGCTACGGACATCAATACGACCACTATCAACCGTATCCTCACAGTGAGCCAGTCCCAGACTCTCCTACTTCTTCAAAATCAAAGGATGACTGCAAACACGTCCAGCAAGACTTCCACCGAGAACGTCAAAAAGGCTTTTTCGATAAGCTGCTCCATCATTACGCAAGCATAGAGGAAACCCTCTACATCTATAATTTACATCATGTAAATATATACTGTTCATAAACGTTCTTGAAAATGTTTACTTCACATCCACTAGACACATACACAGGCACGATCACGATTTGATCTCCCTCACTGTTCAGTTTTTGGGATCAGATCCCATCACCTTCAGCGTGATTCTCCACCTTTGCGGTTCCCTCTCATTAAAGAGTAATAGCCAGTGCCTCAGCTCCGGTTCCTAATTTCTATTGGCTATTTCTCTCAAAATTCATTTGTTCATTTGGAATAAGCGTTACTTTGTGTTGGATGCACTCACACCGCGCAATGAATCTTTGCTAGTTGCCCCGTCATCCACCGTACTAGTTAGTTGTCTCGTTGGACTGCATGGCATTCAAATCCAGCTATCGACGCTCAGTTGCTGATATCATAATTGGATGGAGACGGAAACCTGTATGCAATAGGGGAACCAATTGTTCCTTCCCTGGTGTGACCCGGTTCCCTCAAAATTTGCTCTGAAAATCATAGTTGGGACAAACTCATGCAAACTAAATAGTAGTATGCTGTTAACGACACTGTCTATTAAGTTGTTTATACTTTGCAGGTAATACCAAACAAGTTGAATGCCTTTCCCTTGCATTACAGTTTTGGTATGTGAGAGCTACTTATGGAAGTACCAATAATTTGTGTTGTCAGGTACAAATAGTGGAGTTAAAAAGGTCTTCGATTTCGGAAAAAAGCCTTGAGTATCAGAAAAATTTATTTGGATCCGAAAAACAATTGAGTACGTTTTCTAAATTCATTTATTTACAAAGAACGCGTATAGAATATAAGTAAAATGAAAATTTTCCAATATTCACAAGTCTGCTCAACGTTGGAACTCTCAATTTTGAATCCCACATGTAACAAAATGATTCAACGAAGATAATTTTCATGGTCTAGTTGTCTTTCACCAAAGAATATGTAAAATAGATATTATTACTATTATACATGTACGAAGTGAGGATATCAGTAATGATGCCCTTCGTGGTGTCCATGATGTTTGTTGTGATGATGGAAAGGATGAGTGACATTATGGACAAACCCATGGTGGTGATCGTCATGATGTCGCGGTTCCTCATGATGATGATGATTATCGACGACTACGGTCGGTGGGCCATGAACAACAGGCGGTTGACCGCCGTACATCGGTGGAGGATAAGGCTGGTAGTTGCCATATGGATTTCCTTGATAGGACATTATGTAGAAAGTTGGGAAGAGGTCGGATGATGGACCACTTGGCCTTGGGCTTCCGAATTTATAGCGAAACTGATATCCCTTATCAAATCACTGAATGACGCCTACTCAAATAATGACTCAGGGTCGTGGGTAAACAAAAACCGTGAAATAGCTCACGTGAAGTAGCATTGAGTGAATTTGGCCCGGGTTAAAGAGGCCGAAGTTCGATTGGCGTTTGCCCGGGAGCTTAGTTTTCATTTACTTGAGACCCAAAGTGGCTACTGTTTGAGATGAGCTCACTCACCAACCTGCCGCTCAGAGTTCTCCGAAGGTCACTGGATTGTAATGAATTGGATACATATTGATCAGTCTTAGAAAAACAAGGACATGGGGATGAAACTGACAAACTAGGTTTACAAACAACATGGCGAGCGATAAGTGTTTTGGATATGGATCGATCGAAAATGTGCGAGGGCCGGAGGGTGAAATGTGTAAATAGCAAACAAAAACCGCTGAATTGCTTCCATGAAGTAGCTTCGAGTAAACTCAGGTCGTCCTGGAGAAGCCGAAATTCAATTGGCTTTTACCTGGCCGCTTAACTCTCAGTTTTTTGGAGCTCAAGGTTGCTCTTCGAGGTGATATATGGACCCTACTGAATATTACAAGTTACTAAATAGCTTACAACGTTAACTTTGCGGGCATTCCGATCGCCCTCTATGTAAGTTCAAGATGTGAGCTGTTCAGTGAACTGTAATTAGTAATCAGTATCATTTATTCCTGTATGAGACCAAGGCAAGAGTAAAGAGTTTGAAAAAAATGCTCTGTGAGCGATATTACCAATGATTTGTATGCAAATTGATCGGGAAGAAGGGGTAGTGTCAGGTGGTGTTATTTACAAACCTTGAACGCATGTTAATGAATAGTAGAAGCCCTTCAATTCCAACAGCTTGGCTACCAATAATTTAGATTGAATATTACTTTTTTTATGCTATTTGCTTTGAGATCCCTTCGTGTCTGCCCGCATTGCATTTCCTACCCTTTTTGAGGTTTCGTGGAAGTGTCTCTTGTCGCTCTCTGTCTCTGTCGCTCAATCTCAAAAGAGAAGAAATAAGGGGAAGTGGCATCCTTGGCCTGCCACGATTGCAATGAGCTACGGAATCAGGTGAGCTAGTGAGAGGAAGTGCCATTCGCATATAAATATATTTACAATCTGAATACTTTGATAGTACGTGAATCTCGGAAGACTAGAGTGGCAGGCACCTTATCCCATTTTTTATTGCTTGTGGCGAAACAATACTGTTGTTAAAAAACAAATATTCATTTGTAATTTGCATATTTTTGGTTCATCCTTGATGGAATGCACGAGTGTGGACTACTACTGATTTGTTCGGATGAATGGTGTCGGGCAATATAAAAAGCCACATCTGGAATCCGGTTGGAGTTAGCCAGGAATTGAAGTTTTAGATGCCCTTGGATTGAAATATAGCTCAAAGAAGTCGTATTCGGGCTTGAAGCGGGTCTTCACTCGAAATTTAACGAGAAGGAGATCAGATGTAGCCGACATTACTCTTCCACGACAGTTATCATTTACTCAAACTTTAAGTTATGTGGATTTCCACATGAGATTAGGGTGGTTCCATGGTAGACAAACTTATTTTTGACCTCTGATCCAGCCCTTCTAGCGGGACCCGTAAAGCCGTTCTAGGGAGCCATCAGATTTACTCAACATGATTTCCTTATGTCAATTGCCATCCAATCAGGCCCTCGATCAACTTTTATATGATTCCCTTCTGCCAGTTAGGTCAACAGGCTAATCTTTTTCGTAGAGTTAGACCAGAAGTGGAAATAAGAATTTAACGAATTTCACAGTAGCCTTACGGTTCGTAAGCCATTAGAAGATTAGCCATTAGGGTATAGAAATCTTCTCGAATGAATCGAATAACTTGATTTTGACATCCGAAAGGCTTCTCTTCTAAATGAATCTTGTAGTTCCCTGGTATCTGGCATTTAACCTGCTTTTTTAATGCGCACTGGTACAATTCATTGGTTTTTTTATGGGATTCTAATTGAAGACGGGCGAATTTCATTTCTTCGAGGAATGTGGACAGCTACCATAGCAATCAAATCCGCGAATACGGCTAGTTTCTCTATCCATGGCGCATCACCCTCATACGTGATGACTTTTGATCGATTAATAGCACTTCATAACTAGAAGTTCTTTGGAAGGCCTCATACTTCAACTACCGAGAATCTGTTATTTTTATTGTTACATGATCGAATACCGGGAGGGGCAGATCGATGAAATTCTTTATTTAAATCTTGCTATGCTAGTTTTTTTCGGCTGTGATATTTAGTAGTTTATTCACTTATTTTATTTTTTTTTTTTGCCGAATATTTACATCTTTTATCCAAATTATTGGGCAGAAAACAGAAATACAAGTCAGTACAGCAAAATTTACGAGTAAAAGGATGTCTCATTGTCAGCAGTGACTTTGGTGGTTATGATGTCTATGCTGATGATCGTGATGGTGATGGGTAGGATGGAGCAGTTTATGGAGGAAGCCATGATGATGGTCGTGATGATGTTGTTGGTCGTGATGTTGGGGGTGATGATGACCATCCATGGACACTGCTGGCTCTCTATATGACGGCTGACTACTGTAGACCGGTGAAGCGTAAGGTTGGTGGCTACCGTGTTGATTTCCGTGGCAGGACATTGTACTCGATAGAATGGCTGAAGTTAGCCGATAAGACGGGGGCCGAAAGTTCTCTTTTAAAGGCAAACCCAGCTTTTCTTATCACTTTTTGGCGTGGGAACATGTCACCCCCACAAACGATGACTCGTTGGACAAAGATAGAATTCCTGTCATGGGGCATCTCCTCACAGATAAGCATTGGCACGACGAAACAGTTTCGTTTTTTAGAATGCGCCATACATCCAACTTCCAGTCAGATTTGTACAGAAGTTTTATGTTCGACCTACAAACGAGATTATTTCTCTGGAACAAAAGTGTACAGGATAGTTTTGACAATGTATACCTGCCGACACCACGCGAATGTTATAGGGATAATCCCAGAACTTAACGTTCTTGTAACTTCGAATGCCCTGAGAGCGGTCTAATTTCATCTTACCGTAACACATGCACTGATTCGCAGATGGTAACTTAGTTATCCTACTATGTTATATGTAGCTCGGCTCAGCCATGCGATTTGTAGCTTTTGCGCCAATTCTACAAGGTTCACACTATGCTATTTCTCGTCTTCCCCTCCGGATCGCTGAAATTTTTCCTTCTGCTCGTTGTCGGAGCAGATGGTACTCCTCATGAAAAAAAAGGGCGCTGCCCTCAGAAAAACGATCATCTTCATCCCCGACTTGGGTAGGCGCTTTACGGGTCAAATGGCTTAGTTGGATTCAATGATTATGCTCCTGAGTTGCGTTTTTGTGATACAACTTTCGAGTCAGTATTGGTCTCCCAAATGACTTATCCATGGCTACTGCCAGAGGGACAAAGACGACTTGTTCTGAACAGGGCAGGCTTCCTGGTGATTCTGACTTGGACAGAAAATAAAACTACATTTGTGAAGCACCTCCGTGCGCATGAGTAGAGGCTGGACAGTGCCCGATGGCGTGCTACCTGAAAATCAAGTGTTGGACCATTTCTTGGACAAAACAAGCCCTTTATCTCTCTTTAGAGTCAGAAAATTAGTGGCAACCTTGCCTGGGATGATAAAAACCCTTTTTCTACATATGCTGGTGTAGCAGTCGGAAGCATGGACCAAGGCCCTATTGAAACACTGAACACTGAAACACATTTGAAAGTGACACGAATAAAAGGGCGTTTCCGTAGCTCATCGGAGTCAAACAAAGTCGTCCACGTTCTTGATTCCTCTCCGACTGTTTACCGGCAGCCAACGAAGAACATGATGAGTGTGCGGACTTGTTCACATCCTAAATTCGGCGACGGTTGGTTGGTCGGCCTCTCTCATCATCAGGACTATTATGGCATGTCAAGATGCAGTTTTGAAAAAATCGTTCTGATCAAAGTTGTGAAGCTTCTTTTAGGCATTCAGATGCGATAGCATTTGCAAACTTCTTTTTGATACGATTTCAGTAAGGGTGTGGTGGATGGAGTTGAATAAAACTGGGTCCTCAGATCTACATGCAAAATAGTAACTGACGTCGATCTTGAGACATTGTGGTTGGACTCTTCCTGAATGCTTAAAACAACACAATTATTCACAGTAGTATATTCAGCAATTCAGGCCAGCACAACTAGATGAAGATAGATATAGCGGAGATAGTTTAGCGCTGAATAGAGCAAACACTTTGGGCATACCACCTTGACTGGCAACATTTGCCCGGTATTTGTCTTTGTGTAAAGATGGAGTAGTACCGAGTGGCGTTCTTCCCTGCACGCGGCCAAGAAATCGAGTCCTATAGCGATAGCTTTTCAACCGCACGGACACCAGGCCTGTATGTAATGTTGAAAGATGGATATTAGGTGCAACATGATGCAGATGGACCTTAGATGCAAACAAAATTCTTGGCGTTGTTCATCCTTTTCTGGGATGCAGCCATGCAGTCGGCTCCCATTTGAAGCCAGCAGCAGCGATAGCTAAGAGTTGACTGCTTCAAGTCATTACAGTAGCCAATACCCACGCTATCGCTCCTGCTGATTTCAAATTGAAGTCGAATGCATGGCTGCATCCCAGGACAGGATTGATCAACGCCGAAAATTTTTTTCATTCACCGCTTCCTTCTCACCATTTCATCGGGGCCTATGTCTTACGCGAAGATCCATTAGCTATTTGAGCTATGCTCCTATATCTCCGAGGTTCCGGATGAAAATCAAATCGATGGCGGCTATCGAAAAGGGCTGGTCAGGATGACCATCATTGAATGGATTCTCACAAAACATCATGTTGAAAAAGTTGTTCATTCGCAATGTCTAGAACTCGACTGGATCCGCATCCATATCGGTTATGTTCATCTGGTGGTATGTGAACACCGGCCTAGATCG